CTGGATCAGGCGCAGGAAGATCGGCATGTCCTGCGTCGTGATCTTCGGCACGTTGAAGTCGCGGAGAGCCCGGCAGAGCACCACGTTCTCGTCAGCCTGGTGGCGGGGCGAAAACGACGACGACGACGACGACGACGACGACGACGACGACGACGACGACGACGACCACCCACACGACGACCCCGACGACGACTTCGACGAGCTGGTCGCAGCTATGGAATGAATCCGGAGGGACCGATCTTGCGAACTCAGAGAGGGCCCCAAAGGCTCTCAAGAGCAACCCAAACGATCCCCGAGAACGCCATCATATCTGCAATGGCGCCTCGCGCCATGCACATTGCCAAGGTGGTGCCATCATATAATGAGAGCGGGACTCCTCCAGCTCCTCCGACTTCCCGTTTAACTTCCTCACTCCTCGTCGCCCTCCTCCTTTCCCCCATCGTCCCGGGGGGGAAGCGGAAGAACGGCGCCGACGAATACAACAACAAGGACTACGGCGGCAACAACGACGGCCAGGCCCAGCAGCGGCGAGGGCGAGAGCCACGGCGGCGACAAGACATTGGCAATGCCGACGGCAGCAACGAACACCGAAATCTGGAGAAAATCTCTCACCGACCCACCCCTCCAAGAAAGACGAAGCCAGGAGGATGACAAATTCGGGTGAGGATAAGTCGGGAATCTCTGAGATCTGGCGGCTCTGGAGGATGTCTCGGGCGCCGCGGCCTTCTCAGAGCATTCTGCAACGCTCTGAGAGCGTTCCGGAGCGCTCTGGAACGGATTTGTCCTTGTCCCAGCCCCCCGCACGACCAAGGTCCACCCTGGGCAGCTTTCGTCCCAGATCGGTCTGGGACGGTCCTGGGGCCCGCAACGGGAATGCAGAGGCCGACCAGTGCAGGGGAAAAATCTCCGAACCTCGGAATGGCGGCGGCGATGGCGACGGCGGCGGCGATGGCGGTGGCGACGACGGCGGCGGCGGCGAAGGCAGCGGCGACGGGGGCGCCAGCGATGGCGACGGCTGCCAGGGCGGTGGCGACGACGGCGGCGACGGCGACCACGACGACGGCTGCGACCGCGGCAGCGGCGGCGCTCCGTCGGGCTGCCTCGGGCTCCTGGCGCTTCAGGGAGCCCGCCTGGCGCAGCAGCGACTTCACGGCGCGCAGGCCTGCCCGCTTCTGTCGCCGACGCCGGCGACGCCGACGACGGCGACGGCGACCCAGACCCCGACGTCACGAAGTTTGCACGACGTGGACCCCCAACGTGCCCCCCTCCACGGGACCGGTGTTCCGCCCTGAGTTGTTCTGTTGACAGCCCCGAGGGCCGAGACAAGGGCCCCAAGAGGCCGAAAATGGCGGAAAACTCCCCGCCGTGGTTTTTCCATCACCCGGGGGGGTCTAGGGACGGCGACGGCGACGGCGGCGCCACGGCGGCGAAGGCGGCCACGGCGGCCGCCACCACGGCGACGGCCACGGAGTCGAGCTCGAGACCTCCGCTGCGGAGGCTCTCGCGAGCGCCTCTTGGTTGGCCCCTTCGGAGCCACGGCGGTGCGCGGGCTCGAAAGACACTGGCCAGCGCGGGCCCCCAGGAGGGCCCGGTCCGCCTCGCGTCCTCCAACGCCGGCGGGGGCAGCAACGACGAGAGGGCCGAATGACGAGTCAGGGGGCCTCTTCTCCATCCCCCTACTCTTAGGTCGGGTAATGTCCCCATACAGGCGGCTTTTGGGCGAACAAATTACCCTGTGACGTACCCAACACATTTGTATCATGGGAAACGAGGAGTTGGCCGAAACTTGCACGGACAATCAAATTGCAGGATCCGTTGTTTGATATGTAAGCTACTTGGGACACGCGCCAATGGAATGATGCGCAGGAGAACCATACAAGAACGAGGGGCGACAACTACAGGCTCGAAGAGGACATGGGGAGTCGGGAGCGAAGAGCAGGAGAAAGACGTGCGGGAAGCCCACTGTGCTGGGCCCCCCAGCAGGCCTCGAAAGTGGCGACAGTTTCACAGATCGCAGCCCCCCAGGGATGGCGAGGTCCCATTTGAATCCGCCGCGGATGCACACTGTGCTGGGCCCCCCAGCAGCCTCGAAAGTGGCGACAGTTTCACAGATCGCAGCCCCCCAGGGATGGCGAGGTCCCATTTGAATCCGCCGCGGGTGCACACTGTGCTGGGCCCCCCAGCAGCCCTCGAAAGTGGCGACAGTTTCACAGATCGCAGCCCCCCAGGGATGGCGAGGTCCCATTTGAATCCGCCGCGGGTGCCACTGTGCTGGGCCCCCCAGCAGCCCTCGAAAGTGGCGACAGTTTCACAGATCGCAGCCCCCCAGGGATGGCGAGGTCCCATTTGAATCCGCCGCGGGTGCCCACTGTGCTGGGCCCCCCAGCAGGCCTCGAAAGTGGCGACAGTTTCACAGATCGCAGCCCCCCAGGGATGGCGAGGTCCCATTTGAATCCGCCGCGGGTGCACACTGTGCTGGGCCCCCCAGCAGCCTCGAAAGTGGCGACAGTTTCACAGATCGCAGCCCCCCAGGGATGGCGAGGTCCCATTTGAATCCGCGCGGGTGCACACTGTGCTGGGCCCCCCAGCAGCCTCGAAAGTGGCGACAGTTTCACAGATCGCAGCCCCCCAGGGATGGCGAGGTCCCATTTGAATCCGCCGCGGGTGCACACTGTGCTGGGCCCCCCAGCAGCCCTCGAAAGTGGCGACAGTTTCACAGATCGCAGCCCCCCAGGGATGGCGAGGTCCCATTTAAATCCGCCGCGGGTGCCCACTGTGCTGGCGACAGTTTCACAGATCGCAGCCCCCAGCAGCCCTCGAAACGCAGCGACGAGCCAGGTAAAAGGCAGGGGGGAAGAGAGGGACGGGAGGGGGTGATAAGGCGCGAGCAGTGCTCTATTCAAAACGAGAACCCAACGCAGGAGGGTTGGGAAAAAAAAAACATCTCGAAGATGCGCAACCAAAAACACCCCCAAACAGTCCACAAAAACCACCCCAGACCATTTGTTTGACCATCTCTGACTAGTCCTCCTGCAGAGGGACAGGCCCGACTCGGCCCCGCGCCTGCTCTTCAGGGCCCCCATGCCAGGGAGCGCGACACACGTCAGGGCCTTGTGGAGCACCCGAGGAAAGACTGCAGCCGTGGGCCGCAAGAGCACGCTCTCCGCCACCGCTCGCTCGCTCTCTCGCTCTCTCTCTCTCTCTCTCTCTCTCTCTCTCTCTTCGGGGGGTGCTGGAAGCGCCCCCGGCCGAAGGTTGCCCCCAGCTCTTCGCTCCATTCTGGAGCCCCTGGGGGGCCCTCTGGGCCTCGGGCGGGGCGCCCTGGAGGCCGCGGGGGCCAGCCCGAGCATCCTGGGGGTGCCTTGGGCCAGGGGCACTTCTGGCAGCACCCGATCTCTCTCTCTCTCTCTCTCGCTGGGGCTGCCGGAGACAGGGGGATCTTGGGCGAACCAAGTTCAAAACCAAATACTTCAAACAAAAAATGCCCAAACATGGTCATACATAGTCAAAACAATCCTCCCCTGACTTTCTTTTGACTATCTTTGAAAATTCCTCCTGTAGAGAGACAGGCCCGACTTGACTCTAGTCTGCAGTGCTCTGGCACCAGGGCATCCGAACTTCGTTGCCCCCCTGTTTACCAGCCTGGAACAGATCCCTATCCCTAAGCTGGGCATCGCCTCATCACGATGCCGATCTTAGGGATTCCCTTAGTTTTTCAGGGCGCATCCCTAAGATTGTCAGCGCCTTTTGGCGTGTCAATCTTAGGGATAGGGATAAGCTCGAGGCTGGTGACTGCTTACCCCCCGGCGCGCCCCAGTCGTAGTGCATCTGCTTGGAGAGGAGCTCCCTGCAGAGCGAGTAGAGCGTCACGAACTTGTGCGCGAGGGGCCGGGCGATAATAAAGCCCTGCGGCGGCCGCGGGGTGCATTTAAGGGAGGACGAGCGAGCGCGAGGAGCGCTGGACGCGCGACGAGCGAGGCTCACGCGTCGAGGAGGAGGAGGAGGAGGAGGAGGAGGAGGAGGAGGAGGAGGAGGAGGAGGCGGCTCACACCACGATCGGTATCATGAACACACGGCCGGCGCCGCCAAGATGGCGCCCAGCACCGAGCTCCGGAACGCACGCTGTCCCTGTGAGGCGATCCCCCTGCGAGGGCCCCCTCTGTCAACACTGCCCGCCTGCCAAGGCTTCTTCCGTGCACGCCATCCCCGGGGTGGAGGATAGCGCGAGGCAAGCAGGCTGGCGGCGCCACATCGCATGCTGTCTTTGCAGCGCCACCCGCAAACGCCGCTCCGAGGCCCGCGCGGAGTTCTGCCCGGAGCGTCGGGCGGTGCTGCAGCAGGCTCTCCTGTCCCCAAACACCTTCTCAGAGGTCCCCGCTCCTCCCCACAGCCATCCACTGCTCACCATGTTCTGTGGCAGCTCATGGGAGCCTCCCATACCATCTTGTTGGCTCTTGCGAATCGACGCCCATCGACGCTAAATCGACGCCACGCAACGCTGGTCGACGCTGAATCGACGCTGATCGACGCGAAATCGGCACTATGTCATCGGGTACCAGACGCGAATCGACGCTAGCGCACTCTACAGACGGAACTACGAAGGTACATTGGAACCTAGGCCAGAAGAGCACCCTTCAAGAACATGAGACCATCCGCCGGCCGAAACACACAGAAAATCCACGGGCACCCTCCCTGGGATGCACAAGAACATCCACCCAGCACGAAGAGCACTATAGGGCACCCTCCCCGAACCGACCTCGACCTCGGTCCGCCGCCGAACTTGGCTTTTGGCTCAAAACTACAGTCGGGGCGTTGACCTAAGGAACCCTCAATAAGGAACGAGGCCCGTTTTCTCCATAAGTTAAACTTCGATTACCGATCGAAAACATAAGGGAAACCTGAGGCAAGCTGTGAAACACTTAAGGAACGCGGAGCCCCTCCCCAACCAAAAGGGTTCCTTCTTCAGGGCCCCGACTGTAGGGTTTCCGGCGGCCGTTCGG